TTTGGGATCTGTAGCTTGATTTTTCATTTTTAATGACAATGGCACAATTTAGTGCTTTCTAGTTTGTACAATGTTTCTAATAGGTTTATTATGTATATATTATTTTGTTTGCTTACCTTAGATGTAACTGAATTGATTGGGATCAGATGTTTGATGAAGTGGTGCTTTTTTTTAATCATTTCACTCCAAGCAAGGCAATAAAGCTACTAAGATGCAAGAAGTTACTGATCATGAAAGAATATGAGAAAATGAAAAACATTATTAATGAGAGAGAACATTAAAAGTGCAAGAAAAAGAAGACAGAAGATAATGATTAGCATTGCTTTAACATTTTAGAAGATCAAATTTGACCAGAAAACAAGAGACTGGAAGAGCATTCCACAAGCGAGAAGTGCGAGAAAAGAAATTGTTAGGATAGAACTTATGGTTACATCGAGCCATTTCAAATTTAAAATGATGAGACCTTACTGATGCTAGTTAGTCATTTATTTACCATACATGATACACATTTAAGTGATCATGTCTCTTTCAATCTATGACTGACTAGACAGATTTTCTTGCAGTAGGTTGCCATTTCTTTATGCAGTAGACTGGTTGCCAACCAAAGTTATAGAACCCAGTCTATGCTGTTATTCAACCCATAGTTGGAGAGAGAAGAGATTATAGATATATAGAAATGTGATCATAAAAGTCAACATTACATTGTGACTGTCAGTTTCACACCTCAAGGGAATCTTTAGACCAAGTAATTTCTTTCTTGGTCTGAGATGAAACTGACTGTCACCATACAGTGTTGATTTTTATGCTGACCTTGTCAAAATATATAAATGCTCAATTCTTGATATTGAACCCTTTTCTACCACAAATATCAGTCAGTCAGGTGCCATATGTGATACACGCTTGAGCAATCATGCATCTTTCGATACATGACTGACGAGACAGATTTTTCCCACAGAAGATTGCCATTTCTTTTTACAGTAAACTGGTTGCCAACCAAGGCTAAAGAATCCAGTCTGTCTTGCTATTCAACCCATATCTGGGGGAGAAGAGATGGATTCATTCCTTTCCCAAGGGTATCTGTGCATAAGTGGAGGTAATGAACTTGACTGGAATTCAAACTAAGTTCTCTGATTTCCCTTTCTGAGACAATATCCATTACACTACAATGTGCCACATTGATAATCTAGTACTGCATTTAAATTCATAAAGTTGAGGCACCAAGGAGGAAAGCTCATCAGAACAATTAGCATTAAAATATTTGTAGAAAATATTTGTGTTGATGGAGAAAGAGAATAAGATGTTAATATTTGATACCTAGCTTCTGGTGACATTCGTAAGTTTACCATAAAGGCTGGCATACAACTTTTTCCTCTTTCTATTTTCTCAGGCCATGTACTTCTCTTATTTCTATTTCTGTGTTTAGTATTTTTTACCTTCAAGCATGCTTCCAGCATTTCCTAGATTTTGAAGCTGTTACAAGAATGAAAAAGAAGTAACTTTTTTTCTTTACATTCACCAAAACACTATTTTACTCATTTTTAATTATTTTTCTTGTTCATTTTTTTCTTTCCACTTTCTCACCTTTTTTTCCAGGAGAGTTATACAAAGGACAATGTGTAGATGTTTATAGGAAGGCAATGACATTTTCTTTTTTAAATAAAAAAAAAAATGGAAGAGGTTTTCATTCTGATGCATAATTCTTAGATTGTACAACAAAATAAAAAATAAAGCAATAAAAATAAAGGAGTATATAGTAACAAAGGAGAAGCCCCACCTCCATTTGATGTTTCACATATTAAGTATGAAAGAGAAGAAAAAATAAAAGTGTAAAACAAAATATATAGGTTTTATTTATAAGGTAGGTGCATTTATGGATTTCCCAGCCAACTTGACCTTGCTTAGAATAATGGAATTATAGAATATCAGAAAGGAATCAGAGACCTTTTCAATGCAAAAGCAAAAACTAAACTAAATTTCTTCATCGTGATTGGACCAATCAATGATAATGGAATATAACTAGTTTAGTGAAAGAAAAAGGCATCACCAATCAAAATGAATGGATGTTCCCTCAGGTAGGCCCAGTGCCTCGAGCTCTTATTGGGACTTAAAATCAACCTAGATTTCAAGTGGAGCTTGTGCATATAATCCATTGTTAAAGATGTTGCATAAATGGTCAGTTCTCTGTACTACTCGTCAATACATGACTACCTTTACAAGAGCCAGATCAGGTCAAAAATGGAGTACTGCTGTCATATATTGGCAGGAGCTGTCCAGTCTTTATTTTCCAATCTTGACATAGCCCAAAAGCATCTCCGCATCCATGTGGGTGATGAATTATTTTCCACCCTACAACCCCTTTCCTCACATGTAAAATATTGCAAGCCTCTCATTGCTCTGTTGCCATTTTATAAAAAGTGCTCAGACAAACTACATTCCTTTGTTCCACCAGTTCTAATGATCATGGCTAAGACCTGCCATACTATACACATTGTAGTTAATC